GCCCCCCGCGCACAATGGAATCTCCCTCCCACCATAGTAGGGGGTGAGTGGGGGCTGCAGTGCCCCCCCGTGCAATGGAATCTTCCACCCCCTGCCCCCCATGTTCTATGCAGCTGTTTCCCTAGGTGCCCTGCCCCAGAGCTGGCTGCACGCCAGCGCCAGGCTGTTGCTCTCTGCCCAGCCGCAGGGTGACGCTTTCGCGCTGGGAGTAGCTGGGGGCTGGTTTTCACCCCACGGCTGCACTGGCCCCAAAGACCCCAGTTTTCAGCAACCCCCCCCCCCACCCACCCGACAGCCCACGCTAGGTGGGTGCTGTCAGCTACAGCCACTGCTGTTCCCTCACTCCCCTCCCGGAGCCAGGGGGAACCCAGGAGTCCTGGCTCCCAACCCCCCTGCTCTAACCACTACATCCCACTCCCCTCCCAGAGCTGGGGAGAACCCAGGAGTCCTGGCTCCCAACCCCCGTGCTCTAACCACTACATCCCACTCCCCTCCCAGAGCTGGGGAGAACCCAGGAGTCCTGGCTCCCAGCCCCCCCTGCTCTAACCACTACACCCCACTCCCCTCCCAGAGCCTGGGGGGAACCCAGGCGTCCTGGCTTCCAGCCTCCCCCCCCCAGCTCTAACCCCCAGACCCCACTCAGAATTGAGGGGTGCTGGCAGAGCAGGGGGTGAGGGGAGCCTAGGGTTGGGATAGCAGGGGGAAGGTGAAGGTGCGGCAGGGGGCACTGGGCTGCAGGGTGAGTGAGGGGGGGCACCGGGCTGTGAGATGAGGGTGTGGGGTGGTGTGCTGGGGGATGAGTGGGGGGGGCACCATGCTGCGGGGTGAGGGCGGGGGGCGCTGTGTGTCTCACTCTGCCCCCTTCTTCCCAGGCTCTGTCCCCCCCCCCGTTGCCTCCCCCCATGCGGCGCTGCTCGGACTCCTCCTGCCCCGTCACCAATGGCCTGCGCTTGGAGGGCCCGGTGCCCGTGGAGCTGCCCCGGGGGCCGGCGCCGGACGAGAGCCCCGCAGCCGAGGCGGGCCCAGGCGCCGGCACCGGCACCGTCAAGGTCTATCTACCCAACCAGCAGCGCACCGTGGTGAGGGGCCCCTTCGCCGGGGGGGACGGGGCGGGGGGACTCCAGGGCAGGGGCTGGGAGCAAGCAGGACCCCAGCCAGCCTCTAGCACAAGCTGACTGGACCAAATGACCGGAGGGTAGCTAATGTGACGCCAATTTTCAAAAAGGGCTCCAGAGGTGACCCCGGCAACTACAGGCCAGTGAACCTGATTTCAGTACCGGGCAAACTGGTTGAAACTCTAGTAAAGAACAAAACTGTCAGACACAGAGATGAACATAATTTGTTGGGAAAGAGTCAACATGGTTTTAGTAAAGGGAAATCGCGCCTCGCCAATCTACTAGAATTCTTTGATGGGTCAACAAGCGTGTGGACAAGGGGGATCCAGTGGAGATAGTGTACTTAGATTTTCAGAAAGCCTTTGACAAGGCCCCTCACCAAAGGCTGTTAAGCAAAGTGAGCTGTCACGGGATACGAGGGAAGGTCCCCTCATGGATCGGTAACTGGTTAAAAGACAGGAAACAAAGGGAAGGAATAAATGATCAGTTTTCAGAATGGAGAGAGGTAAATAGTGGTATCCCCCAGGAGTCTGTTCTGGGTCCAGTCCTATTCAACACATTCATAAACGATCTGGAAAAAGGGGTAAACAGGGAGGTGGCAAAATTTGCAGATGATACAAAACTGCTCAAGATAATTCAGTTGCAGGCAGACTGCGAAGAGTTACGAAGGGATCTCACAAAACTGGGTGACTGGGCAAGAAAATGGCAGATGAAATGCAATGTTGATAAATGCAAAGTGATGCACATTGGAAAACAGAATCCCAACTATACGTATACAATGATGGGGTCTAAATTAACTGTTACCACTCGAGAAAGATCTTGGCGTCGTGGAGAGTTCTGTGAAAACATCCACTCAATGTGCAGCGGCCGTGAGAAAAGCGCACAGAATGGTGGGAGTCATTAAGAAAGGGATCGATAATAAGACAGAAAATATCCTATTGCCTCTATATAAATCCATGGTACGCCCACACCGTGAATACTGCGTGCAGATGTGGTCGCCCCATCTCAGAAAAGATAGATTGGAATTGGAAAAGGTTCAGAAAAGGGCAACAAAAATGATTAGGGGTCTGGAACGGCTGCTGTATGAGGAGAGATTAATAAGACTGGGACTTTTCAGCTTGGAAAAGAGACGGCTAAGGGGGGATATGATCGAGGTCTATAAAATCATGACTGGGGTGGAGAAAGTAAATCAGGATGTGTTATTTACTCCTTCTCAGAACACAAGAACTAGGGGCCACCACATGAAATGAACGGGCAGCAGGTTTAAAACAAACACAAGAAAGTATTTTCTCACACAACACACTGACAACCCGTGGAACTCCTTGCCAGAGGGTGTTGTGAAGGCCAAGACTATAACAGGGTTCAAAAGGGAACTAGACAGATTCATGGAGGACAGGTCCATCAATGGCTATTGGCCAGGCTGGGCAGGGATGTTGGCCCCAGCCTCTGTTTGCCAGGAGCTGGGAATGGGCGACAGGGGATGGGTCACTTGATGATTCCCTGTTCTGTTCACTCCCTCGGGGGCACCTGGCATTGGCCACTGTCGGCAGGCAGGATACTGGGCTAGATGGACCTTTGGTCTGACCCAGTCTGGCTGTTCTTATGTCTCTCCTCCCCAGCCTCCAGCGCTTTGCACGGCTCCCTAGGCATGCAGGGAGTGTGAGCACAGACCGTGCAACTGCACACGCGCGTGGCTCACGGAGCACACCTGTGGTGTGCCGGGGAGCGTGAGCACGGTCCGTGCAATTGCATAGGCACGGGTCTTCTTGCACGGCTCCCTCGGTATGTATTGGGTGTGCAGAGGATATGAGCACAGTCAGTGTCATTGCACACGCACACGGCTCATTGCACGGCTCCCTGGGCACGCAGGGGAGTGTGAGCACCGTCCGTGCAATTGCACAGGTGTGTGTCTTGTTGCACGGCTCCCCGGGGGTGAGGGGCAGTCCCCGCTCCAGCCGAGCCCTTGCACAAGTGTGGGCGTCTACCTGGCTATGTGTGGGGGGGGGGGTCTGTTGCAGTCTGTGCAGGGGGAGGGGAGCTGAGCTCACCAGAGCCCTGGGGAGGCAGGAACCGTGTGTAACCCCTCCCCCACGTCAGGTCAACGTGCGGCCGGGAGCCACCGTCTACGATGCCCTGGACAAAGCGCTGAAGGTGCGAGGGCTGAACCAGGACTGCTGCGCGGTGTACCGGCGCCTGGGCGGGTGAGCGGGGCTGCGGGTCAGGAGTGAGGGGCAGCGGCAGGGCTGGGGGGGCTACGGGTCGGGAGTGAGGGGCACCGGCAGAGCTGGGGGGCGGCTGCGGGTCGGGAGTGAGGGGCACCGGCAGAGCTGGGGGGGGCTGCAGGTCGGGAGTGAGGGGCACCGGCAGGGCTGGGGGGGGCTGCGGGTCGGGAGTGAGGGGCACCTGCAGGGCTAGGGGGCAGGGCTGGGCTAGCAGGGGCTGCGGGTCGGGAGTGAGGGGCACCTGCAGGGCTAGGGGGCAGGGCTGGGCTAGCAGGGG